GTGAGGTGGAAGAAGGATTTGGGGAGGGGGTAATTGAGGGGATTTAGTGTGGATTATGCCTCTAGTGAACCCTACAAAGACCAGGGATATGAATAGCGTTGTTACCATGCAGAGTGCAGCAGAAAGTAGATTGTGGTATTTGTAGTGATGCTAAAAATTTAACACCTAATCATTTGATCTTCTTTTGGCCCATTTTAAAATTGTTCCTAGTGTTTAACATTTCCTGCTTTCTATCAAATGAAGTTTTCCTCTATTTATTTTCTTTTTGTTATTATCTTTTCTGTTTCTTTGCTTTTTGTTTTTGTGTATTTTTCGGTACATGAAGTCCAGGATGGGTGAATATATAGAAACTAACTGGATTAGTGGTTTCTTGAAGGTGTGGCAGGGAAAGTTGGGAAGAAATAGGGAGTTAATAACAAGGAGTACAAGAAAGACAAAAATGTTCTAAAATCTATTGGGGTAATTATTGTACAATTCTTCTTGAGGTCATGGATAAAAATTGCATGATATATGGATTATCCCCTAACAAAACTGTTTTATAAATAAATTAATTTAATTAAATACCAGTGGCATAGCTTCCAGCATCACAGCAACACAGATTCTACCATAGTATGACAATCTGGCAATGAGGTGGGGCATGTTCAATAGATGGGGGTAGGAGGCAATTAGTAACTGGGGGGTGGGGGGAGGGGAACTAAAGAAGAATTTAAAATACACCAGATCTGACAAAATAAATGAAAAACTAGTAGAAACAATCCAAAAACACTATATAGAAAGCAAATAATAATAAGTCATTAGAAATAGGTTGAAAGAACAAATAAGTAGATTTACAGAAATGGCAGACCAAATTAGTAAGCTTGAAGATATCAAATATCTCAATATCAAATAAGAGAATTACCTATTTAAAAAATTCAAAGAAAACCTGAGAATTGGGTGAGAGACTATCAAGAGGAATAACATATGTGTGATAGGAATTCTTTATGAGAACCACAAAAACAAGAAAATAGTCAGATGTACTGTAAAATTTTTTTTACAGGATCTGTCATCAGGAAAGAGAAGAAAATAACCTTTAAAGAAGCAGCAAAGAAGCCAATCAGGATCAAGTCCAAAAGACAATTACAACATTATCAATCAAACTCTCCATAATCAAGACAAGAGAATTCTGAGAGTATATAGGGAAAATAAAAAGTTATCTAAAGGGAAATTCATAATATTAAGTGCTTTTTTCCCTTTAGCAGAAACATGACGGCAAAAAGGCAGCAGCGTGACATATACAAAATCCTCCCAAATTACTAATGCAAACTCATCTAGCAAAATTTCCCATTAAATTTTAAGGAGAAATAGGCTGCTTTAAAACAGGGAGAAAATGAAGGAATTCATAAAAGCAAGACCAACCTTATAAAGAATACTATGGGGAGTTCTCTAAACAGAATCAACAACAGACTGAATCAACTAGAAATCAAGAACTGAACACAACCCCGAGTTTAATCTGTACAAGTCAACAATATACAGCGATTCACAGTTAACCTATACTGCTATAACTTCCTTGTCTCAACAGTTTTTACATTCTGTACCACTTGCTAAATTGATAGCATCATCAAGAGAATTACCTTGTGCCCCAAGGTAATTGATAATGTATTCTAACACGGTAATGATGTCTCTTCAGTGAAATATATATATAAATACCATACATAAATGAATTTTTGATTCACACTTAATTCTAACCCCAATCTAAGAACAACTACTTCTTATGACTACCCCCTCCCCTCGCCCCAACGCTTGCTCTCATGAAGATATTACTGAAGATATTGGTGCAAGGTGTGTTGAGGAAATTAGATGGTGCCTAGCTATCAGAAAGAACAGCGATGTCTGAGATCCTAAAGGATTATTTTCAAACAAGTAGCCTTCTAAGTGAGGCATCAACTAAGTCCACATGAAGAAGCACACCAACCTACAAGATCTAAGGATTGTAAATTGAAAAATCCAAATCCAAAGAAGGGAATGGTATCAGAGATAAAACTTTAAGCACCTGGTGTGCAGAAGGCTATGGATGACAGTAGATGCTCAAAATCCATTTGTAGCATCCATACATGGATTAATCCTCCTCCAATGAATCCCCTCTTATCATAGCAGTTTTATCAGACAGAGAGAGAGAGAGCATTATAAAGTTGACTATGGCAAAAGTAGATAGGCTGAAATGTACTATCATTTGATCTCCCTTTTAACCCCTTTAAAATTTTTCCGTTTTTAAAAAGTGAGAGAAAATATTCATGGATTAATCCTCTGAAGAATCCTCTCTGACCATCGACCAGGGATGTGAATAACCTTGCTATCAGGAAGAATGCAATGGGAAGTGGACTGTTGCAGATGCAGTTAAAATTTGGTACCTTACCATTTTATCTCCCTTTTGATCCACTTCAAATTGTTTTTGTTTTTAATATTTTCTATTGAGTTTTTTTGTTTTACTTTGTTGTTGTTATTAATTTTGTTTT